TATTGATTGAAATAATAAAAAAAATGTATTAGTATTATTAAAAATATTAAAAAAACTTTCATTTTGAATGCTTTTTAAAAAATGTATAATAATAATAATATTTATTGTTTAATGTTTATTATTAATATTGATATAATATATTTTACAAAAATATTTAACTTTATTTATTTATAACATTTAACCTGCTGTTTGCACTGTTTTTGTTTGGTCTCCTTTTTAAAGCCTTCTGTTCATTCTGTATTTTTTCCAGGTTTTGGGATCACCACCACATTCTGGGACTACCCCTTCAACACAACCATGCCTGAGCAGACGTTTTAGAAGACCCTTCTTTTGCCACAATGAACAAATCAAAATCCCCCCAAACAAACTCCCATAAGCCTCTCTCTTCTGCATTCTCCCTTTATCACTGGGTTAGGTACAGCGTCTTACCCTGCTGCTGCTACCAGCTTTTATAACCTTAGGTTCACCATCATCATCATCATCATCATCATCATCGTCGCCATCAATTATTTAGAGAAGGGCGGGGGGGTCCTGAAACAAACAGAATCACAGAATGTCAAGCTATATAAATATTTATATACTATGTATGAATGTACTGACGAATCAAACGTTGGATGAAATCTGTAAATGTCTTTTATTAGAGGCACAGGAATATCAAACTCACAGTTTTTGCCTATCCATGTAAAGTAAAGAGATGTATAGACTGGGACCGGTAAGTGTGGGATGGCGTGTGAAGGTGCGAGTGGAAATGAATTCTTAGTCGTAGTGTTAAGAAGCTGAAGGCTAGCAGAAGGAAGTCCTTTCGGTGGCCACGTATGCCATTGCCTTTAAGAAAAACTCAGGAAAGTCTCAGATGCTTTAACTCTTCTCAGTGTTGATGCTGCAGCCGCTTTACGGATCATCGCTTTCCCCCAGCTGTCTGTCAAAACTTTGCTCCACCGGTTTCATTCTGCTCTGGTGGTCTTGCTTTTTTTTCTCATCTCACCCACTTCGAGGTGTTTTTTGCCAATCGACTTACTAATATCCTGATCCGGAGGACGTCACAAGTAGCTGCTCCTCGAGTAATATGTTACATATCCAGTGAGATATTAAGTTATTGAGGACTGAAGCTTGCTTCAGGGACGATTCCGCACTTTGAGCTCATGGTGAGGGCGTGAAGCGGGGTGCACGGGCCTCTCCTGCCGGCGAGGGTTGCCAGCCGTCCATAGCTGTCATAGGGTGGAGGGTCTGTAGAAATCCTCTGTCGTCATCGGTGTAGATCTAGCCGGCGCAACCCTTCCATCTGGTGTGACGATCTGGTGCATCTGACCAGGCGTCAGGAGAGCAAGAGCATCCTCGGCTGATCTCTCATCCGTTCATACGGCAGATTTGTTCACTCGTCCGACACGTTTGTATTGTTTCCTACTCGTTTTAACTCCTGCCTTTGTCTTGACTCTGGTTCAATGTTGTTGGAATTCTGGGAAATATCCAAGAAAAGCTGTGACCACATGTAACTCAGCTTCATACAGTCATTATGAGCATAATTAATGTTTCAGATGAAATATATACATAATTATATATGATATTTAGGTAAAAATGATCCTTATGTGCCTTAGGGGCATTGCCTACCTTCCTGCTCCTTCCAAGCCAATTAGATCACATAATTGGTTGGACGTTTCAGCCAAAGACATGGAAGGACCTTTGAATAGAGCTTTTCTTTATACCGTGATTCTGTGGCACAACGAAACTAATAAAATGCAATGGGCACTGTAATGATTTGTGATTATTTTGTAACTGTGACACCATCCTGGATAGATCCCATGTCATAGGAGAATGCTTTCAAATGAGGCAAGTCAACAGAGCAATATACTGTATTTATCTGTTTATTGTAATCACATTGGGAGCTTTTAATTCCGATAAAATCTTCAGCTATAGATGCCTCTAATAAATCTGTTTACTACTATGTATTTTTATTTTGGAATTTTCAATTTCTATGCAAATGCAATTGTATTTGTAAATAAACTGTATATTTCTGAGGAAATCTTGTTTTTTTTTTTTTTTTTTTTAAGAAAACGACAAAAGCAAGCAAACGACAGTGTGAAAGACTGTAAAATGAAGTTTGTGTGTTTTTGATAGACGTCTCTTATGCTCACCAATGGTGCATTTGATCAAAAATACAGTAAACACTAATATTGTAAATTATTACAAATTAAAATAACGTTTTTTATTTAAATATATTTTAAAATATAATTTATTCCTGTGATGCAAAGCTGAATTTTCAGCAGTCATTACTTCAGTCTTCAGTGTCACATGATCCTTCAGAAATCATTTTAATATGCTGATTTGCTGCTCAAGAAGCTTTACTTATCGATGCTGAAAACAGCTGTGCTACATAATATTTTAAAAATATATATATTTTTAATGAATAGAACACAAGAACAGTATTTATTAGATTTTTTTAAATAAACAAATATATAAATAAATATGTTTTTACTGTCATTTTTGCCCTTGCTCAACTAAAAGCATTAATTTCTTCAAAATTAAATTTTACTGACCCCAAACTTTTGAACAATAAATATTATTTATATGAGCAGCACACACAGTTTATGTACATAAAGGCATGCCTACGGTTTCTTTAGAGGAACACAAGCTCTTCTGGTCATTTGCATGAATGTATTTACAAAGCCAACAATCCTGTTCATCCACCTTTATGTCTCCACCCACTAGCAAAATAATAATAACGGAATGGAAACTGCCTGATAATTGACAAGTTAGCTTAGAAATGCACATTTACAGGATATCAGTAGTATAATCATTTGTAGAATAAAAATGTAAATATGTGACTATTGTGTCATTTGGTGTCAGAAGTCTTTCTTTAAAAAGAAAGCAAATTAATGTGGATGTTACAGTGAATATGCTAGTAGTGACTGGTGTTAATGACAACAACAAAAAACTACAATGAAATAATAAATGACCACAAATTAATTTTAGTTTTGTTACATGGTGTATTTTAATATTTTACATGACCTATTTTAAAACATTTATAATGTGTAATTATCTATAAATTATAATAATATATTTATAATAAATTTTAATATTATATTACAACAGTTTACATATTTATTATAAAAACATTTAAATTAGTTAAATGCATTAATTTTTGCAGTTGTAAAAACCCCCTAAATGATTGAAAAATTTAAGCTAAAGCTAAATTGAAGCTAACAGTCATAGAGTGAAAGCTGCATTAAACAAACAACAACTAACAATAAGTTAGAAATAGAAACTAATTTACTTCTTTTTAGTCCATTGCAAATGCTCACTCATAATACTCTGTGTTATATGCCATATGGTTATATTTCATGTCATATATGGCATATACTGTAATTGTAAAGTATCCTACACTAGCCATATGCTATTTTCAAAAATAAACTTGACAGGCAATAGGACCCAGATGTGCTCAGACTGCAGAAGAGCATCCACCATCTGAAAAAAATGAAAATGTCTTTCCACACCCTAAAGGCTGAGAGGAGAGACGTTCAGCTGCATTCCTCTTCTGTCCAAGTAAACCAGCGTATGGATTGGCTCTGAACAAGTGATTGTGGTGAAAAACCCATCTTAGAAGTACAGTCTGACTGTGAGTTTTCACACTTCAATTTGTTTCAAACAGCACACTGGAGGGGGTGGAGACATCAACAAAACTCAAGCGCTCCGACAGAAGAAGGTCCCTGGCTTTGACAGGTAGCCTGCAGAACCGTTTCCTTTCCATCTATTGAATTTCTCTCTCGTTCTTTAACTCGCTCACTTCCTGTTCATGTTTATGTTTTAGTTTCACTCTAATTTGAGTTCAAAGGACAACTTTTGTCATTTTGAAATTGTAAACAAAGGCTGTAACCAGAGGGTGCGACCTTATTTAACAGCACTTTATGCATGCTGTTTTTCTCTCAAGTGCCCTTCAGCTCTCTGCATTAGCTTGAATTATGTAGTTCAGTACTTGATGTTTGTGTGCACACTGTAAAAGGGTGTTTTGTTTGGTATGAGCTTGCCTATTGTCTTCCAAACAGCCAGATATCTGATAACTCACTCACGTGTTTGCATTTACCGGAGGTGATTTGAATGAACTGTTGATGTGTATTTTGTTTCCATTGGCCTCTTTATTTGCCTATTTTATACAGTTTTGACTTTAATCTTGCGGGTTAATTTTTATAGACATTCTTTATAGGCACTTTCCACGAATTGCTAAAGATGTTTTTTAAACAGCAGAGCCACAAATCTCTCTCTCTCGGTTTTATTTAATGAAAACTATTACTGTATTAATAAACAGTAATAGTTCACTGTTATTAATCTGGCATGAAAAGTAGTTCATGCAAATGTGGGTGATTTTGGCCTCAGAGGTTTTGACCTAACAATAATTTTTTTTTCACATTATTATATTAATATTCACTTTATATATATATATATATATATATAAGCTGAATTTTCAGCATCATTACTCCAGTCTTCAGTGTCACATGATCCTTCAGAAAT